CCTCCTGACACAAGCCGATCCAGGACGAGACACCCGGCCTGGGGATGGGGCCTCCCCTCGCCCCTGGTGGGGGCGCGCGCCAGGGGGGTAAATGTGCGGAGGGGTGAAGGCTTTTTGGACGGAGGCTGCTTCCTAGAGGGCGCGGGCCTCACGTCCATAGATGAGGCCCGCGCCTTCTCTAAGAAACAAGGGTGCTTCTAAGAAGCCTCCCCCCCCTCCCGCTACCCCCCTCTGCGCGTGGCCGACCCTTGCAGCAAACCTCCCTCCCTCAGGCCTCCGGGATGAACTTGCTGTCCGGGGACTCCTGGAGCGAAGCCGGGGAGGGGGGGCGGGGAAGACGGTCTCGAGGAGGGGCGCTGCAAGAAACGGGGGACGGAACTGAGAAGGACGACGAGGAAAAGGAGGAATAAGAAGAAACATAATGCCTCACAGAGTGCCGTCAACTTGACGCCCAACAGAAGCGAATGCCGCACGTGGTGACGGACTTCTTCCACTGAAGGCCAAGGTAAAGGGCGAGGAGTTGGAGGAGGAGGAGGAGGACCAGTGTAAACCCAACCGTCATCAACGATGTTGGAATCAACCCTCCCTCCAAGCTCCCTCTTCATAGGCCCGTACAACGATTGATTTCTACTGAGGGAACTGCCTCCTTGGAAGACCACTGTTTGAAGAACGTGAAACATGCCAAAATATTGCTATCGGGATTGCAACGCCACGGATCAACCTGACGGTTGCGTCTAAGTGATCCTGAATCGTGCCAGAAAGCCAGTCCTGGGACTTCAACACCGCGAACAAACGTAACTGTTGCACCCTCATAATTCTGAATCCTTCCAAAACATAATTTCTGGTGCGCTGATCATGGGAATCCGTGAAACTCTTGCCAATGTTACACTGGAAGTCGTGAAACCCGCAAACCAATCTTAATGTAATCTGCAATCTTACACTGCAATGCTAACTTGATCCTGGGGCCACCCTCAATCCGTGAACCTCTTGCAGTTTGTTAAAACGACTGTGTGCGGCGCTAAAGCGACAACCACATTTTGAAGACGACCCGCCCTCCATTTGTGAAACTGTCGTCATTTTTGAAATTTCAGGGTCGTTGTTGATGAGGAAGTCTCAGGCGAAACGGCCGGCCCGCCCTTAAAACTGGTGTCGGGGTGCGACGGGGAGTTGTTTATAAGGAACAGAAATGGAGACGGGTAAGCAGGAGGAGCGGGGGAGAAAGAGGAGGAGGAGGAGGAGGCGGAGGAGGAGGAGGAGTAGGAGGAGGAGGAGCAAGCGGAGGCGAGGGGTGAAGATGATGGCCGTGACGCCGACGTGAAGACCACGTCGGATTCCGGAAGGGCCCTGGCCTTCGAACCTCTCGTCGCATTCGAGCCGGGAGCCCGTTCGTGGCCGAGGCTCGCCGTGGCCAGGGAAGCGCCTCCGCTCACTCGGCGCTTCCTCATGGCATTCGGTCGGAGAGAACAAGTAAAAGGTATTCAAAACATGCTCAACCAGACGCCAACAATAATGGAAACATCGTCCCCAGACGATTCCTTGTTTGACTGTTTGTGAATCTTCGTCCTGTAGAGGGTCATGCCCGATCTCATCATGGTAGCACGATGACTGCAGGTGCTCTTCCTGCTGGTCGGAAGCGCCCACGAGCGCTGTGGTCCGATGCTCTCGACGGCGGCGGCGGCGGCGCACGCGCAGCAGGGCGGCCTCTGGGCGCTCGGACGAGAGGCGGGCGCGCGAGGTCGCGGGCCGCGTTCCTCCTGCTTGGTGCCTGCCTCCTGTGCCCCGGACAGGGTGAGAATAGCAATCGTTCTACTCTTGGTGCAGTCAGCCCGTGTGACAAGGATGCATGGTAAGGATGCAGGGGCCTCGGGAGGCCGTCTTGAAGCTTCTCGAGCGGGGCACGGCCAGCGGAAGCGGTCAAGGATGGGCCGAGGAGGCAAGGGCGCAAGGGTACCCTTGGGAGGATTGCCCTTCCTTGCTCTGCGGGCTGACTGTACTAGCACGGGTGATGATACCAATAGTTCTGTTCATGGTGCTACAAACAGAAGGAGACGAAGATCGATCGAGTGCCTCTCCGCGGGCGCGGCGCGCGGTCGGCCGTAGTTGCAGTGTGAGTGTGCGGTCAATTCCAGCAAAACAGCAGCACCTTTCCTGCGCCGCCGCATTCCGATGCGTGCTGCGGGCCCCCCGAAGCCACCGGAGGCCTCCAGAATGGTCGCGCACATCCAAAGCCTTGCTGGGGGGAACCGCGGGAAGGAGAGACCCGTTCCATTAGGGCTATCTTGGGCGATCTTCGGGCCGTCTTGAGTCTTGAAGCATTGGAAGCCCACCGGAAAACGAGAGGCAGAGGAAATGCCAAGCACCGAGAAAAACCGCGAGCGCTTCTTAACCTTTTCTCGTCTCTTGGCGGCGGGCACAAGGGGATGGAGGGAGGGGGGATGGCTTCTTAGAAGGAGGCTGCTTCTTAGAAGGCGCCGGCCTTACATCTATAGATCAGGCCCGCGCCTTCTAAGAAGCAGGGGTGCTTCTAAGAAGCCCTCCCCCCTCCCCCCACCCCCGTCTGCGCGTGGCTGAGTCTCTCGGGGGGCATCCTCAGGAAGCTCCGTGGCTACTCTGCCCGCTCCGGAAGCCCCGCACCAAACAACCTTGGCATCTTTTGGGAAACGATTCTCGTTTTGCTTAGGAGGAGGAGGAGGAAGAGGAGGAGGAGGAGGAGGCGGAGGAGGAGGTCGAGGAGGACGAGGAGGAGGAGGAGGAGGAGGAGGAGGAGGAGGAGGATTCCCGCCGGCCGACCCGCCCCCGTTTCCACTTCCGCCGGCGCCTGCTTCCGACTTCTCGAGCCCTCGACTGCGAGGCCCTCCCTGGAGCCAGACGGGAAAAAACACTGCATAAACATAAGCTTTTGGCGCTCCGCGCGGATCTTGCTGTCGCTCGGACGTCCGTTTCCCGTGTATTTTTGGGTTTCGTGCGTGTTTTTTTTGCTCGGTGGTCCAGGATGGTCCTCGATGGTTCTCGCCGAGAAAAAAATGCACACGTCCGAGCGATGCCAAGGGATTTCTTGCATCTGCGCTGGGCCCTCCTTCTCGGCGCGCGGAGCGCGCCAGGCGGCGCCAGAGGCGACGCCGAGGGCGCCCAGCGCGGATCCAAGCACTCCGCGCGGAGCGCCAAAATCTCCTGCTTCTGGCGTTTTTCTTTCTCCTTCGAGGAGCGCCCCGCCCCCCGCGCGCGCCCCGCGCGGCGCGGGGGAGAGCTGCGAAGGCAGGCGCCTGGAGCGCCAGCAGGCACTCGGTCCCCTGCCTGCCGAGCACCAGGTCGGAGGAGTCCAGGCGGTACGCCAGGCCTTCGGGGCGGCGCCCCCGCTGCCCGCCGCTCCGCCGCACCGGGCCGGCGGGGCCGGGGAGGCGAGGGGCGGAGGGGGGGGGCCCAGGCCCCCTCGAGGAGGAGGAGGAGGAGCAGGAGGAGGAGGAGGAGGAGGAGGAGGAGGAGGAGGAGGAGGGGGAGGAGGAGGAGGAGGAGGAGGAGGAGGAGAAGGAGGCTTTGCGCCACGCTCGCCCTCCGGGGGCCCTCACCTGGCCTCGGGACCTCCCAGACAGACAAACGGCGCTCGGGCGGAGAAGCCTGGTGCCCGGGAGCGGGCCGAGACCTCCGGGGGGGGGGGGGGCGACGCGGTGAGAAAATCACGACGTGGGGCCCTGGGACACACAAAATAAATACGCACAAATAAAAGATTTTCCCCATATTTCATATATTTTCTGGGTTTTTGTCTCCCCCCCCACTTCCCATACTTTCCCACATTTTCCGGGGGATCGACGATTCATTGTGTCTGTGTGTCTCTTTACCTCCTGAGTGATGGGGGAGCTCCCATTTCGTGCGCCCGCTCCCCGAGCCCGTCCCCTGCAGGATGGGCTCCGGGGGCGGGGGGAGGGAGGGAGGGAGGGAGGGAGGGCGGGAGGGAGGGAGGGAGGGAGGGAGGGAGGGAGGAGGAGGAGGAGGAGGAGGAGAGGAGGAGGGAGGAGGGGAGAGAGGGGGAGGAGGAGGAGGAGGGGGAGGGAGGAGGAGGAGGAGGAGGAGGAGGGGGAGCACGTCGACCTGTGCTCCGCGAGGCGTCGCCGACAGCCCGGCCACAGGCCCCCGATCGTGGAGCCGCGCGTGCGCGGCGGCGGGGCGCAGGGTAGCGGGCCCCCGTTGGCGATCCATGGGCGATTGGGGGTCGATGCGTCCCGGCTCCTCCTCCTCCTCCTCCTCCTCCTCCTCCTCCTCCGGCAGAAGCACAACAGGGAGCTCTGGGAGGGCAAGCTAGTCGACCATGCCAGGTACCTCGGCCCGATCGTCAACAGCACGCAGTCGTTTGGCATCGAGTTGACGAAAAGAGTTCACGCAGCTAAAGCGGCTTTTTATTCAATGGGCTCGTTCTGGAGTGCAGCTCGTATTCCGTGGAGGTGGAGGCGCACGGTTCTCTTGGGAAGAGTGGTGAATGCAGCGCTCTCCGCCGTGGAGGCCTTCCTGCCGTCCAAGCGCCAGTATGACACATTGGACGGCACTGTTGCAGCACTGGCGAGGATTGCAATGCGGGGCAGGGCCTGCACATGGAAAGAAAATGGAGAAGTACGCTCACTCACGAACGCAGAGGTCCTGGCTCACTGGAAGATAGCACGAGCAGAAGTGGAGCTACGAGTACGACGGCTACGGTGGCTACAACAGGCAGCGGCTGACAGGAACAACAATGTCCAGTTCTTCGCGGCGGTTTTTGGCACCATCAGTGGGCAGGCTTTCAGCACGCTTGGCGATGATGATAGCATTGCTGCCTCTGCGAACCCTTGGGCCAAGAGAGTTCAAGCGGATGTGGATGAATTAATTCACGCTTCGGAAGAGGCGCAGGCACTGAAGGAGGAGGCTGGTCCGCACGTGGTGGTATGGCTAAAACATCCTGAATGGAGGTCGCAGTTCTGTCAAATAGACGTCACCATCCTCCGAGCTCGAGAATTCAAACACAACATCGCGCCCCCAACATGCGCCCCGCCCCCAGCCCTGGAGACTGCGGAAGAGGAGATCATGATTCACGAGGTGGAGGAGGTATTCAAGTGCCAGGTGGAGGTGGAGGGGAGGACCTGCGGGAGGACATTTTACTCGAAACGAGCCCTTCGTACTCATGTTCGACAGGTACACAGTTATCGTAAATATGTGCTCGTTCTTCAACCCCACGAACGAGTGCATAGTCTGCCAGACAGTATTCGCCACGCCAGTTACTGCTCGTCGGCACCTCGCTCGATCGATTCAAAGAGGTTATTGTGTTGCCGATCTCGCTCGCGCCCTCGTCGAAGCCCAAGAACCACGGTCCCTCGACTGCCCTGGCTGTGATTACGTAGCTGGCTCTTGGCTCGAGCTACGCCAGCATCTGGTTCGGCATCTTCCTTTCTTACCAGATATACGTGCTCCTGCTACGGTGGGCAAGAACCTCCGCTATGGCAGAGGACGCGGACATGCCAGGCTGGATGAAGCAGGCGGGGATCGCAGACCCCAAGTGGGCGCTACCCAAAGGCAAGCGTGGCGCAGAGGACGAGGCGGGCAGCGTGCAGAAGTTACAGAAGGCCGAGGACATCGTGGAAGAGGCCAAGGGCAAGGCGGGCAAAGGCGCCAACAGGGCGCAGGTCGTGGCGGCGCTCGTCGCCATCCTCGGCAAGCTCGTGCTCAGCATGGCGGGCGACCTCAGGGCGGTCATCAGCGTGGTCTTCGTGACGGCCCTGGTGCCGACGACGTTCCCGTGCATCGAGGCGGCGATCAAGGCGGGCAAGGACTACCACACGGCGGCGATGAAGCTGCGCGAGGAGAGCAAGGAGGACGACAAAGTCGACACGGCGAAGCTGGGCAGTCCGCATCTGCACGTATGGAAGGACTTCATTCGCGCCCTCCTCGCGAGTACAGAGGAAGGAAAACCTCGCGATATTCTGACGTACTACTGGCGCAACCACATCATGAGGTACGAGCTCGTGGACGCAGCAGCGGAGGTCAAGTACTTCAGGGTGAGGACCCCGCAGGGCAAGGAGAAGAAGAAGAGCAAGCGCATGGAGGGCAAGGTGCGATTGCAGTGGGCGCTGACGATGACCAACAAGACGGCTGCGGAGCTGGACGAGGTGCTGCGCGCGGAGCTCATTCGTCAAGGGGCGGAGATCACGATCGGAGCAGCGCCACGCGGAGTCTTGGAGAGGGACGCCAGAGCGCTCTCAAGCTCGAAGGAGGCTCCAACCAGCTGATGTGAGAAGGATGGACATGCTGTCGTCTAGCGCTAGGCTCGAGGATTTAATTCAGAGAGGAGCGGTTAGTCGTGAAACGGTCCTCGCCTCATATACTTCTGTTCTCACGCCTGAGGTTTCAACGGATTCCCATGGCCGATTTGTGCCTGTCGCTAAAATGCGGCCGCGCCCTAAGGGGCGTGGGAGGGGTAGAGGGCGAAACCAGAATCCCTCTGGGCGTGGGAGGGGGTAGGTGCCGCTTGTGCGTCGAGCCCTGCTGCAGGGGATGCCGTTTGGGGCCCTCTGCTGCAGGATGCGGCGCCAGGCTGCGCTCACTCCCTTTCGTAAGACTTTTGGGCCGCCACCTCCTCGCCCGAAGCTCATACCTTTTGGGGTCGAGGAGGGGCCCGAGTGATATTTTCCACCTGTGCCAGCGTGAAAACTCGGTTGCAGCCAATCTGGTTTGCCGCCCAGCGATTTCAACAGTCGGATACCTCTGCTTGTCTTCGCCCAGGGATGTCTAAGTCTAAGTCTCCTCCTCCTCCTCCTCCTCCTCCTCCTCCTCCCCCTCCCCCAACGCTGCCCCTGAGCACAGGGGAGGGGCAGAGAAGCGGGGCGAGGGGCAGAGGGAGGGGCGGGACGCCTGATAGGAGAAGCGGCGGGGTGGCACGAGAGTGCACGCCCCCCCTTGGGCCCCGAGCGCAAGCTGCAGGAGCAGCAGCCGCAAGCCGCCCGAACACACGACCGGGCGAGCAAGCCGCGCGCAGCTCCGCCATCTCGTCTGGGCCACCGTCGGCCGGAGGCCTCCCTTCCTGCTCTCAGCGCGGGGGCTGGCGGGGCACACTGGCGCCTCCCCGACTCTGTGTGCTTCCCTGGGCAAGGCCCTGGCGTTAGCTCGGGCGTGTCCTCCTATATGGGGTTTTGCAAGAAAAATAAAAGTAGTCAAAACACATTCAACAACACGTCAAACACAATGGAAACATCGTCCCCTGGCTATTTTTCTACAATTCCTGAATCTGCCCCCTGTAGAGGAGACTGCACCCCCTCGCAGGTCACGGGCTCTGGGCCACGTCCATGAGCTTTGAAGGATCGGGGGGCGTGGAACCTGTGACGCTCTCCCGCCTCCATAGCTGACCTCGCGCCAGACCTGGCAGCTCTCCTTCTCTACTCGTCGCGCAAGGGGCGGACGTGACGACGAGATGCGAAGGATTCTGCACGCCATGTCGCCGGAGCCCATGCCCACGCCGCCTCCCCCCCCAGACCCACTCTCAGCCACCCCTTTTTGCACACACCACGCTGGCGCCTCGTCGACGTGGCGCCCGCGCCGCCCTCACCAACAGCGCTTGAGCACGGTATCTCGCTTCCCGCTCTCACGCAAACCGCCTCCGTACACCACCTTGTATCCTCGCCTTATAAGTTTTCGAATCGTCCGCCTCTCGGTGCCAGGGCCGAAGACGTCGTCGTTCATGCCGTTCGTCTCGAACAAGATCCAGTACGGGTGCCAATCGGGGCGCAGCTTGCAGGCCCGCAGGAGCCCGTTGAGGATGCTGCAGTCGTGGCCCTCGCAGTCCAGTGCCAAGACCCCGATGCTCTTCACCCCGTGCTCCTCCAATCATAGGGGGACGAAACATGACATAAACATCAAAACTCGGAGGTCCGCGCGGGTTTCTTGGATCCGCGCTGGACCCCCTCTCCTTGGCGCGCGGAGCGCGCCCGACCCCCGAAATCCGCGCGGAGCTCCCAGTCTTCATGCTCATGTCGTTGTTCGCTCCCCTGGATAGCGTGCCCATGCTCCTGATGCGCACGCGCTTGGTGCGGATGAGGTGCCTCAGGCCGAGCTTGCCGAAGTTCCTCCTCGTCAGGCTGTGGCGGCCCAGGGTGCTGCAGCCCCGCGCCATGCGCACGGCCCGGTAGGCCCACAGGCTGCCCCGGGCCGCCAGCGCCCGCTCCCAGCGGCCGATGTCTCGGAGAGGCACGTGGTGCATGGTGTGCGAGCCGTCTCGGTCCGAGACCGCGGCCTGCACCTTTAAAGAAAGGCCCAGGGGCACGCAAATACATACACGCAGATCCCAGGCTTGCCCCCATTTTCCTATGTTTTCTGGGTGTTTGTCTTCCACCCCCCACTTCCCGTATTTTCCCGGGAGTTTGCGACTAATTGTGTCTGTGTGCTTTTTTCCCTCCTGAACCTTCTTCACGTGGGGCAGGTCGGGCAGCAGGCGGAGATACCTCGGGGTTGCGCCGAATCCAGGGATCCGCGATCCGTAAACTGGGCGCGCGGTCGCCGAAGCCATGGATCGGGGGAGGTGCCCTCCCCAAAATGCGACCGGTGCCGCCTCGCTCGGCGGTGGGAATCCGCGATTTCCCATGGAAACGGGGCCCGTCGCTAATCCACACCTCCTTGTTCCATGTTTGCGATCGCCCGAGTACCTCTCCTCCATGTCTACCGCCAGCCCGCGCAAGGAGGTCGGGTCGTGGGACCACCGCAGGTAGCGCCAGGCGTTGGGCTTGCCGTCTGGGTGTGCGGCGGCCGCCTGCGTGAGGGTGTGGAAGTGCGAGGTGCCGATCTCGACGAAGTCGAAGTGCCCCTCGCCGCCGCCCACATCCATGGTCGTCTCCCACGGGCAGAGGAGCAAAAACAAACATAAACATAAACTTTTAACGGTCTGCGCGGATTTCTCGTATCCGCGCTGAGCCCCCCTCCCTGGCGCGCGGAGCGCGCCAGGGGCGGCGCCGGAGTCGCAGGCGCCGCCAGGGGTGCCCATCGCGAATCCAAGAAATCCGCGCGGAGCGTCAACCGTTTATGCTCATGCCGTTTTTTCTTCTTCGAACGGGGCCAGCTGACCGTCCTTGTATGTCGGGGCGGGCGACGAGGGGGGTTGAGGGGGGCAGCCACGGGAGCGCTCGCGACTCGGCACCCCCGCGGGCCGGCTCCCCCTCCTTCTCCTCCTCCTGGCTTCCCCTCCTTCTCCTCCCCCTCTCCTCCTCCTCCTCCTCCTCCTCCTCCTCCTCCTCCTCTTTTCGGGACCTTGGGTATTGCTACGTCTCAGCCCTGGAGGTCCTGGGGATAGAAGTCGCCTCGGGCCGTGCCACCAGGTACTCAAAACTTCGGGAGCGTACACGTGGAGTCGCTAGACGCAGACCTCGGCTGCAAGCACTGCGCAATGCTGGCTCCTTGCTTAGCAAGTTTCACAATCAGGCCCTCCCACCCTCTATGACGTATGGACTGGGTGTGCACGGTGCCCCCCCCCAGACAGCGTGTTGCATGGCACTCAGCTGGGTTCTCCACTTCCTGTTGGCGAACCTCCTGCATGCAGGGGTCTCAGTACACGGACTCACAGATTGAGGCATGGACCGCCCCGCTATTTCAATGGGCCCTTCTGGTGAGGGACCCGATGGGGCCCAATCGTATCTTGCAGGCTGCTTGGGTGAGGCAAATCCAGAAGGTGTACCCTGGAGAAATGTTGCTGGCCCTGCTGGAGCCACCCTACTTGCCCTCAAGACCTCCAATGGGCCACTACTAGCAGCACCGCCTGGAGGACGGATCTTGGAGTTGTCTTGGATGTGGGGCTTACTGCGCCTGCTACTATCAAACAGCTTGCTCGAGAGGCTGGGGTCAGGCGACTCTGGGAACGCTGGTATCGACGACCCCCGTTCCCTGGTGATCCCCCCATAGCTCGTGAACCTATTGGATATTGGATGGAGCCCATCACACAACTCCTTACGAGAATGCCTGTGCCTGATCCTGCTGACACTGGCGATGATGAGGACGTGCCCCCTGACTCTCCACATGATGAAGCTGACGACGATGAGCTAGATGCACGAGCGACGTGGCGTCCCAGCTTCAAGGAGGCAGGCCTTCTGCGTGCTTGGCGAAGTGGAGGCCTTTGGACGTCTGCTAGACTGGCGGCCTCTGGCTACCGTGACGACAGCTCGTGCTCGAAGTGTGCGCAGATGGGTTGTGATTTATACCACATCCTGTGGGACTGCCCTCACCTTGCGAACTCGAGGGATCGGCACTGCGGCTCGATCAACTTTGTGGGCTTCCCTGCCAAAACACCCGACACCCTGTTTTGGGCCCGCGGGCTCATCAGTCGCTCCTGTTTCCCGTCGCTCCCGATGCGTGATGACTCTAGCCGCTGGCACATTCGATACGGCGATCCACACATTATAACTGGGGCCATCTACACGGACGGGGTTTGTTCAAAGATTTGGTATTGGCCAGAGGCTGCCAGAGCTGAATGGGGTTTCTGGCAACTACGGGAACCCATGAGGCATGGCGTTGACATTTTAGTTTGGGGAGCCCTGCCTGGCCCCATACAGACCTCGCCCAGGGCCAAACTTTTTGCTTTCCACCAGGTTCTCTTGGTTTGCCTCCCCCCCTGTTGTGGTCCACACGGGCTACAAAAGGCCTCCTGGACGGCCTGGCCCTCGGACCCAGTTGGTGCTGCACCCCGCGGCGTGTCAACGTCGATTTGTGCGACTGCATCTGGGCCGAGCTGCGGGACCTGGGCGAGGTGGGGGAAGATGTCAGGGTGGTCCTCGTCAAGGGGCATCAGCGTGGACAGCACACTGATGCCATAAGCAACAGGTGGGCTGACCTTGCTGCCCGCAACGGTAGAGATTTACACGTCGCCCCTCGGGTCTTAAGTCAGGCCATGAGGGTGGGGCACAAGCAGTACATTCGTGTTTTGCAGTGGGGTGTTCATGCCCTCCAGTCCTTTTTCGATGGCCACCGTATCGAAACTAGGCCACGGAGACGGCCCAAGCGTTTTAGGCCGCCAGCTCGGCCCTTCCTGATGAAATCGAGCAGTCGGCCCACAGACGGCACGTTTTTGCCCCCGTGCCCAAGCGGAGCACATGGAGGTGCTTGTTTCGTAAGAAGGGTTCTAAGCATGAGGAGACCCGTCGTCGTCTCTCCCTGGATGCTTGCCCTGCGAGGGCTCAGGGGTTTGAGGGTCTTGGTGCTGAGAGGCCCCCTGCCGCGCGCCGGGGCGACGCGGAGGGCGGGCAGGATGGCAACGGGGACCTGCCACCCAGCGCTGCGCTGCCCTGCCTGCTGCCACTCCTCCTGGTATTCGCTCGCTCGGCTCGTGGTCGGACGCGGTCTCCCACCCTCCCGCTCACCGTTTGCGAGAGTGGTCCAGCGACTGCGTGTTCGCCCAGCCCTGTGAGGGATGGCAACTGCCGACGACGCAGCGAGTCGCAGGACACCGAACGCAACGTGAGGCGGAGGGTTGGCCTTGAACGCGCATCTTCTCTTAGGGACGACACTGGCACGGTGCAGTCTGGAGCTCTAGCCGACCTGGGCAGTCCTGTCATACCCCCTGGGTCGGGTCCTGCCTTTCGCACCGACAAGAGGAGGCGAGTGGGATCTCATCGCCTCAGGCCCTCTTTAGGCAACATAACCTTTCCCGCTGAGGCCCTGCCGCCTAATGGACCCGTTCCGTCTCAGGCCGCCAGGGGCCATCGGCTGTGGGTGGCCCCTGCGAAGGTTTGCCTTTGCGTTTCGTGTGGTTTTTTTTCACCAAGGGTACGTCAGGTCAGCCCTTAGTTCATTGCCTCTCCTCAAACCCTGGTCACCAGCTGAGCGCCCAGAGGAACCGCCGTCTTTTTCTCTCGGGAGTTCATCCCTCCGACGAGGCGCGGGAGGACCCCCAGCGAATCCCAGCGCCTCGACCCCTTCGTGTTGATGACCCTGGAGTTTTATGCGTCAGGCTCCTGAGGAGCCAATCGTCTAACAATGGAGTTGGGGGTTAGTAGCCGCGAGAGTGGAGCACCCTCATCGGTGTGCTCCCCGCGGCTCACTCACTTTCCCTAAATCCTCAACCCACAGTGCTGCGCATGGGGCCTACCGCCCGAGATCCTCTCGGTGCGGTGGTTGGTCAACTTTTCCAGGCGCGTGAGGACGGCTCACTGCAGCCCTCGCCCACCTGTGTTGGGAAGTGCACCGCGCGCCCGCTCCAGCTAATGTCGTATCCGCCTCCTCCTCCTCCTCCTCCTCCTCCTCCTCCTTGTACGTCGGGGCGGGTGGCGAGGGGGGGGACAACCGCGGGAGCGCTCGCGACTCAGACGTCCCGCGGGGCCGGCTTCCCCAGCGCCTCTCTGGGCTCCGGTGTGTCGAGGCAAGATATGGCGTGGCGGTGGAGCCAAAACCAGCGGCATGTATCAGATTTCGCCCCGCTCGTTTCCTAATCGTGGGGGAACCAGCACGTATACCCATACATATATACTAGAACCACGCGCGCGCTTCGCGCGCGCTTAGGTTCTAGCTAGGAGGCGAGCTTGAGTCAACGAAAGTCGCAGGGAAGGGGGCAGGGGGAAGAAGGCCAGAGAGCGCTGAAGGATACAAATAATGGAACCCTCGTGTGATTTTGTGGGGGGCCTCGTCCGGCCGCTCGCTGGGAGTTTGACGTAGCTTCTCGGGAGCCTCTGAACCTGTCGGGGGCCTCCTGGAAGCAGGTTCGAAGCATTTTGGGGGCCGATTTGGGGCTTCTCGGGGCCTCCTTTGGGCCTCTTGGGGGTCTCCTGGGGCCTATTGAGGGGCCTCCTTGGGGCCTCCTGGCGGCCTCTTGGGGCGGAAGGCTCGAGCTTGCGGCTCGTGGTCCCCCTCTGGGCCCCCTCTTGGGCCCGTCTTGGGGCCCTCTTGGGCCATCTTGGGCGCCTCTTGGGCCGTCTTGGGGCCCTCTTGGGCTGTCCTGGGGCCCTCTTGTAAGCTTCTTGGGCCGTCTTGG